GCATTCTGGGGGCTCCTGGGAGGCGTCTTGGGCCCTCCTGGGGCGCTGTGGAGGCTCCCTGGAAAAGCCTCTTGGGCTCCTGGGTGGCGTTCTTGGGCGGTTTAGGCGTCTCGTGGGCCGTCTTGGCCCCCTCGTGGGCCGTCTTGGAGCCCACTTGGGGGCATCCTCGACCATCTTGGGTGCCTCTTGGGCCGTCTTGGACGCAGTGGAAGCCCAAAAGGCGCACACGCCAAAAGTATCAGTTTTCCGATCGGAAATCGACGATGTTTGCTTATTTTGGGTTCTATTAAAGTGCCTCTTGGGGCGACTTCGGGGCCTCTTTTGGTGTTGTTTCGGGTCTCATGGGGGCCTCTTGGGCTTCTTAGGCGCTTCTTGGAGCCTCGTGGGGTCTCCTGGGGGTCTCTTGGGCCAAAATGTGCGAATTTCCGGTTCCTCGTCCCCGTCTTGGGCGCCGCCTTGGGGCGTTCTTGGGCGATCTTGGGCGCCTCGTGGGCCGTCTTGGCCCCCTCGTGGGCCGTCTTGGGGCCCTCCTGGGGGCACGAGGCGCGCGCTTAGGTTCTAGCTGGTCGCGAGTGCTGACCATTGAGACAACAAGGCGGTCATGAATAATGAAGTCAGCATTCTCTGTTTCCTTCCGTCTCTTCCTCATGCCTCCTCCTCCGCTTTCATCGACCGGTCGACTGGTGATCTGTCGCCAAGCTTCTTGGGGACCTCTTTGACCCCTCCTGGGGGTCTCCTGGGGCAAAGATCTCGGGTTCTCGGTTCACGTTCTCGATAGTGGCCTTCGCGCATCCCGCCATCGTGCCTGGGTTGTGGGTTAGAGGCCCCTTGGAAGTTAGTTCGGGATTCGTGGGAGGCTTCCCGGGGGCCACTTGAAGGCACTTTTGGAGGCCTCTTGGGGGCCGTTTGGGGTGCTCGTGGGGCGTCTTTTTGGGCCCCTTTCGGGCCTCTTGGGCCCTGGGGCCTCTAGGACTCTGTTGGGAGCCTCTTGGGGCCTCCTGGAAGCCTCTTGGGGCGGAAGGCTCGAATGGTCTGTTCGTGTTCCCCCTCGTGGGCCCCTCTTGGGGCCGTCTTGCGGCCCTCTTGGGCGATCTTGGGCGCCTCGTGGGCCGTCTTGGGGCGCTCGTGGGCCGTTTTGGGGCTCTCTTGCGCCGTTGTGGCGCCCTCTTTGGGTGCATTGTAGGCCGTGCTGAGCTGATTTCTGGGGCCTCGTGGGCTGTCTTGGACAGTCGGAAACACGAAACATCGAGAACACGAAAAATCTTCAAACATCATAGAGAAACCTATTTGTTTCGCCTCCTGAGTGCCTCGTGGGAGTCCATTTGAGAGCATATTGGCCGTCTTGAAGCCCTCTTTGGCTGTCTTCAAGCCATGTTGGACCAATTTTGAAACGCTTTTGTGCGGTCTTAGGCTCTCTTGGAGCGCTCTTGGGCCATCTTGGCGCTCTCTTGGACGTCTCTCGGCCACCTTGACGATTTTTGGCGCCCCCCGCCGGGCACGAAACGGCCGGATTATAAATCAATGCAATTTGGAGAGCCTGGGACCCCCACCATTTTTTTAAATATATATATATATATATATACAGAGAGAGAGAGAGAGAGAGAGAGAGAGAGAGAGAGAGAACCATCGCGCGCGCTTCGCGCGCGCTCAGGTTCAACCTCAGACCTAGGCAACGTCTGAATATCGGTTTGTGCTGCTGGACAGCAGGATGGCGTGATGCTCATGTGAGTGGCAGTCTGCTTCAGACAACCAGGGAACCGAAGGCCCCGAGCAACACCAGCCACGGCATCACCAACACCATAAGCAATGAGGAAGACGCCCGAGACGACGGAGAATGAGGCCGAGGTGGGACCCGCCGAGTCAACCAGACGAAAAGTGATGACGAAGAAGAGTCCCAACGACCCTCCCCTCATCCCTTTCGGGGCGGGGGCCTTCCCCTACCCCCTACCCCTACACCCTCCCCCTGGACGAGGGCGTTCGGCGGGCCGTTCGAGCGTCAAGGATGGCCCAGAAGGTTCCAAGAAGGCTCCCATGAGCCCAAAGATGGGCCTCAAAGATCGTTCAAAGTGTGCCAAACTGGCTCAAGATTTCCACAACACGCCCCCCAAAAGCCTTCAATACCGCCCCCAGACGGCCCGCAGTGCCATCCCAGCACCCCAGGGAAACTTCCAAGAAATCAAACTCCTTCCGAAGCGCTCGAAACATTCTGATGTTTGCCTCCTCCCAGTGTTGATTCTGATAGTTTCTGAAGGCCAGAAGGCGGCTCCAAGATGGGCCAAAGTCGGCCCCCAAAGGGATCCAGCAGAAGCGAAATACAGCTCCGAGAGCAGAAAAGACCGCCTCAAGAGTTGCCCAAAAGCGGCCCAAGAAGTGATTTGTCAGACCCCGATTGGGGCATCACCCCCTGCCTGATCGATGGCCTTCAAGATGGTTCCAAGAGGGCCCTGAGGCCTCCGAGAGGGATCCCAAAGGGCCCCACAGAACGCCCCTAGAGGGCTCGACGAGAAGCCCAAAAAGGTTGCAGAATGACAAAATCATTATGTTTCAAAGATTGCCGCGTGGAGGAAGGCTGCTGAATGACGGAGTCCTCTCATACACGAACTCCCGCGTGAAGGGGGCTGCATAACGGCATATCCTTCTCGTACACGGATTGCCGCGTGGAGGAGGGGTGCAGAGAGACAAAATCCTCCTCGTACGCAAGTTGTCGCGTGGAGGAAGGCTGCGCCTCTCGTGCGCGAGGTGTCGTGTGGAGGAGGGCTGCAGAATGGCAAATATCTCTCGTACACGGATTGCCGCGTGGAGGAGGGATGCAGAAAAACACAATCCTCATTGTGCGCCTTTGTGTCGCGTGGAGGAGGACTGCGCAGTGAAACAAAGCCTCTCGCACGCTGAATGCCGCGTGAAGGAGGGCTGCAGAAACACGATATCCCTCTCGTGCACTGATTGCCGCGTGGAGGAGGGACGCAAAGAGACAGAATCCCCCTCGTGCACCTGTTTGTCGCGTGGAGGAGAACTGCGCAATGAAAAAAAAACCTTTGTCTCTCTCTCTCTCTCTCTCTCTGAATGCCGCGCGAGGGAACGCTGCAGAGTGACGATATCCCTCTTGTGCACGGACTGCCGCGTGGAGGGGGGATGCAAAGAAACATGATACCCCTCGTACACCTTTTTGTCGCGTGGAGGAGGACTGCGCAGCGAAACAAAGCCTCTCGTACGCTGCATGCCGCGTGAAGGAGGGTTGCAAAAAGACGATATCCCCCTCGTACACAGATTGCCGCGTGGAGGAGGAGGAGGAAGGAGGAGGAGGAGGAGCAGGAGGATGAGGAGGAGGTGGATTTGGGAGGTTTCTTGGCCCTCGGGGGAGGGCCCTCGGCTCCACGGCTGGATCCGCCTCGGAGTCCACGTCAGAACGCGTTCGAGGAGCGGCCCACCCCTCGCGTCCGGCTTCCTCCGCCCCTCCCGTCCTGACCCCCTCTTCCTCCTCCCTCCTCCCTCCTCCCTCCTCCTCCGCCTCCGCCTCCGCCTCCGCCTCGTCCTCGTCCTCGTCCTCCTCCTCCTCCTCCTCCTCCTCCTCCTCCTCCTCCTCCTCCTATGCTAGCCAGACTGCAACAGGTCGAACGGCTGACCAAGAACATTCTGCAAGGGAGGACTCCAGTGGCAACAGGACCAGCTCTCTGGTCGACCCTGTTGGGCGCGCCCTGGGGCTCTCTTGGGCCGTTTTGGGGGGCCCATTGGAGGGCTGTTTCGGGGCCTCTTTTGGTGCTTTTTCGAATCTCTTAGGGGGCCTCTTGGGGCTTCTTGGGCGCTTCTTGGAGCCTCTTGGGGTCTCCTGGGGGCCTCTTGGGCCAAAACGTTCGAATCCTCGGTTCCTCGTCCCCGTCTTGGGCGCCGACTGCGCTCTTGGGCGGTTTGGGCGTCTTGGCCCCGTCGTGGGTCGTCTTGGAACCCTCTTGGGGGCATCCTCGACCGGCTTGGGTGCCTCTTGGGCCGTCTTGGACGCAGTGGAAGCCCAAAAGGCGAACACGCCAAAAATTATCAGTTTTCCTATGAGAAATCGACGATGTGTGCTTCTTTGAGGCTCTATTGGGGTGCCTCTTGGAGCGTCATCGGGGCCTCTTTTGGTGTTTTTCCGGGTCTCATGGGGACCTCTTGGGGCTTCTTGGGCGCTTTTTAAAGCCTCGTGGGGTCTCCTGGGGGTCTGTTGGGCCAAAAGGGGCGAATTTCCAGTTCCTCGTCCCCGTCTTGGGCGCCGCTTCGGGGTGTTCTTGGGCGGTTCGGGCGCCTCGTGGGCCGTCTTGGCCCCCTCGTGGGCCGTCTTGGGGCCCTCTTGGGGGCATCCTCGACCGGCTTGGGTGCCTCTTGGGCCAGTCTTGGACGCAGTGGAAGCCCAAAAGGCGAACACACCAAAAATATAGTTTTCCTGTCGGAAATCGACGACGTTTGATTATTGGGGCTCTCTCGGGGTGCCTCTTGGGGCGTCTTCGGGGCCTTCGGGGGCTTTCTTGGCGTCATGGGAGTCGTCTTGAAAGGCGTCTGGAACCATCGCTGCGGCCTCCTGGGGCCTCCCTGCAGCCTCTTGGAGCCCTGTTGGCCCCGGGTCGCCGAAAGCCTGTAAAAACACCGGGAAAATGACGCCGGGGGCCCACATTTGTGGTCGAGGCGCCGGCCCCCGGCCCCCAGATCCGGTCCCCCGTTATATGTAGATGTTTGTCCATATACACACATCTACAGATAGAGAGAGAGAGAGAGTGAAAGAAAATACAATCATACACAGAGAACGAAAGAGATATACATATATATATATATAGAGAGAGAGAGAGAGAGAGAGAGAGAGAGAGAGAGAGAGAGAGAGCGCGCGAAAGAGAGAAACAGAGAGTGGGAGAGAATAAGAGAAGAGGGTGTGCAAAAGAGATGATAAAGGGGGACGGGAAAGTGATAGCTCTTGCTGCCGATGGCACGTACACACAAATACCCACAACTGCAAATCCGATGGCGCGGCGGGCCTGGTGCGTCACATCGTTGGCGATCAGCACGATGTCGCGCCCGTCTGGGTACTCGGGAGTCTGCATAGTGCAGCGCCACGCCATCATGCCTGCTCAGTCTCACGCAAACGAGGCCGGCGAGGACAATGAGAAGCAGGAGGGGACGAGAGGAGGGAGGAGGAGCAGGAGGAAAAGGAGAAGGAACAGGGGGAGGATGACAATCTCGTCCTCCTCCTCCTCCTTCTCCTCTTCCTCCTCCTCCTCCTCCTCCTCCTCCATTCCTGCTCCTTATGAAAAACTTCTCCCCGTCGCACCGCGAGGCCAGTTTTTAGGGCGGGCCGGGCGTTTCGCCTGAGACTTCCTGACCACTTAGGACTCTGAAGCTGAGAAATTGACAACACTTTCACAGATGGAGGGCGGGCCGTTTTCAAAATATGGCTCTCGCCTGAGCGCCGCGCACATTCGTTTTAAGCATTTGCAAGAGTTTTACGGATTGAGGTCGGATCGTTTTCAAACTGTGGCTCTCGCCTTAGCGC